CTACACCTATACGATCAATTGCGCATGCGGGTTGCGCAGCAAAGGTCACGAACCAATCGAAAATACTGGGATATCATCCGGGTGTTCAGGGGAGAAAAGCAATAACAAAAGCAACAACCAGTGCGCGGAAATTGCTCTGGATCAGTGCCCTTTTAAATGTGTTTACCATATGATTGTTTTGATCATGTTTTTACACGGTCGGCTTCAGTGTGCGATGTGTTCACTTCCATCAACCACCAGCTTGTAATAACACGTCACATGAGATTAACCATGTGCTAAAATAACACCCAAACTTTAAAGCGTACCCCTTGTCAATGTCCTGAGCCATATAAGAATCGAAAGGTCGGCTTCCTGAGTCGACATCTCAAACTATGGTATGTAAGTGGTAATAATTCCTGAGCATTAGAGAACAGATTGGTTTGTTTGGAATTTAATGCTTTTCATAAACTAGAATCTGATAAACTATTTGTCTCTGGAATCACCTGTGATATGAACTTGTGTAGTGATTTCTCTAGAAATTATTTAACGTTATCTAAAATAGCGACATTTAGTCACCTTTTATTGTATATGACCAAATTAATTAGTTACAGTATGAAGTTTTAAGAAGGAATTCATTTGGGTTCTTTTGCCCCAGTCCGCCTGTGTGTGGACAATATAACCAATTATCTATTATTAAGTTCATGATATTTCGTGAATACACCAACTGCATAACACTGTCTCTGACCACAAACCCAAACGGGTTGCTCTCTATTCGCCTACAGTCTTAAAACAACATTTCATGGTCTGTTGACTGTTGATTTCGCAATGATAAACCACCCAAACGGTCCATCCCTTGTGTCAGGTGTTAATTAGAGGGTACCATTAAAGAATGTATTCTACTACAATAAGCCTATTATTCCCTGGCAAGGGTTCACTTTTATGACATGTAATAAACCCTGGCCAGTCAGTCAGTGGGTCCGGTAAACTTTTATTTAATCAATGATGTAACGTAGGTCTATGTAATTTGTGTTTATGCAAACCGTGACAGGTCAAAAACTATTTGCGCTTTTGTGGATAATAAGTAAACCATGCACTTAAAACTGTATTTTGGAAAATGCTAGCCATATCAGGGCAATATGACAGTTAATGTCAATTTTTGACACATAGAACAACAAGGATGCAGACGAGAGAAGTTATACCAGGAATAATCTACAACGTCTTATAGTCTCCCTGGTTATAGTTGCTCGCATAGGAGGACGAATACACTCCTAGGAGGACGAATACACAGTCTATACACTCACGGGGATCCTTGGGAAAAGGATAAACTGAAAGAAGTAGTGGTAAAATCCTTCCTAAATTTCCAAAAATTTCCAAGCCTTGGAAATATCATCTTTCCAATTTTGGAAATTTTTGGAAAGATGATATTTCCAAATTGGAAATTTTTGGAAATCACCATTTTTTTTCTTGTGAGGCAGCTTGGGTTATCCGGGGTAATAATGGCCTTGATTGTTAGCGCTATGAGCATACCTAGTGTGGAGTTTGGCGCTATATAAATGGACACATTAATTAAAAGTGCGAAGTGTCAACGGAGAGAGCATTGCTTGAGATATCATGGCTTGTATTTTGACTCAACGATCCTCTGGTACGACTATGTGATTTAGCGTCGTGATGAATCCTATTCCCAAAAATTGAAGATCCTGCTTTGGTTCTAACTCCGACTTGAGAAGATTTACTAACCAACCTAGTTGAGTGAGTAGTCTGATGGTGAAATCTAGTTGCAGTCTGAGTTGACTGGCACCTTGATGAACTTAAATCCCGTCGTCCAGGGAAATAACACTGCGTAGACCTCGACGATGTAGATAAATGACGATGGGTTTGGTCACCCAAGTAAACAACCAGGGGGCCGACGATATTCCAGACGGTAGCACCTTCCACTGGAAGTGAGGACCTTTGAATAGGAATCTTTGATACTTCCTTGAGTCTGGATGTATAGGGATGTGTAGATAATCATCCTGTAGATCTATGCAGGCGAGGTAGTCTAACGGACGAACAAGATGTCGGAGCTGAGGAAGATGAATCATCTTGAATTTTGAAGGTCTGTGAATATAGTCCTGGTTGAAATTTCCAGGGTTGTAAATGAGTTGGATTTTCCCCTTGGAATTCTTTTTCGGTACTAGGAAAATCGGGGAGTAGAAGCCAAGCATGAGATGCTCTTGAATTATCTCTTCAACAGCATCCTTTTTGAGCAGTGTATTGATAGAGTCGTCCAGTTTCTCTATCTGGTCGGTCGCGTAATTGAAGATAAGTGGGTTGCTTGTGAGCGGTTGGATGGCTTCTAACTGTAGCTTGTATCCTCTGCGTAATATCTGAGACACGTAGTCGTCCTCTAGTATTCCCCAATTTTCCCAGTACCGTTGCAGATGTCCATCCACTGTCAACGGTTGTACGGGAACGACTAGGGTTGGAAGCGTCCAGTCTCTCCAAACCTGACCTTCAGCGTCTTGCTCCTCTTTTACCTCTGGGAGCAAGTCCTCTTCCAGAAGTCGTCCTATGAATCCTGGTTGAGCGACGAAAAGAGCCTTTTCCGCCTCTAGAGCTGGAATATTTCCTTTCTCTGGCCTTCTGGACTCCCGAGAATTTAAACTTGTTACAGCAGCGCTGAGAATAACGTTTGCAAAGGTATCTATGGATTTGATCATCATAACCTCTCTTGAATCGTGTGTAACATTCCTGGCAATTTCTTCAATTTCTCATCCAAAGAGAGATAATGCTGACCATGGGACTCTGAGTAATGGTAAAGTACACACCGATAATAAACCCTGTCTTTTCAAGAGAGTAAAGTCCGCTGATGTAGATGCCAGATATTCCGAGATAAATTGCTGATCCTTTTTGTGAATCAGTAGAGCAGAAAAGATCAACCGGTCCTCTTCGGAAGTCGAGTTCCTGAATTTCGAGATAAGCTCTAGATCTGGCTAATCCAAAGAGATACGTCTTGTAGTGGTATCCAATTGTGCTATCTTCTTATCCTCTACTTTGTAGGATTTATTGCGGGACTCATTGATGATCTTGTAATCCTCGTCGATCTCAGGTGCCTTGAAGAAAGGTTCCATATGATGCAAAGGAAATCTCCTGCTGTTAAACGACGGGACATGCTGACCTTGGCTTTTAGTGGCCTTCTCAAAGGCTGAGTTGAGATTATCAGGTAATTTAGAGACCAGGTCGATAGGTGGAAAGGTGAGTGTGTCGAAGTCGCTGTTATGCATCTTATAGGTGAATGCTTCATTCGTATACTTAGATGGCGACTCTAGTTCCAGACCGTTTGCAATCCATGAGGTTACTTCCGTATCAGAGAATACTACGTCACCTTCTTCATCCATCATCTCCCGATCCGATGAGTCATATCTGCACGCAAGCCTGAGTGCAGGTGAGTGATCTCGGTGCGTCTCCCTCCTAGAGTCGAGGATACTGCAAACGGGGATCCCTCCTAGTGTCTTGTGTAGACTCTCTGCATCTTTGCACAGGTTGATTCCTTGACGTAGGGTCTTACCTCTGAGGTGAAGATTGCCTGCGCGCAGGCTCTGAGTCTGATGTTAGTAGTGTTGTTTAAACTTCTAACTTCGGACGGTGAAGATCTCCAGGAGTGTGAGCCTTCGCGCAGGCTTTCCTCTTCATCCAACACAGCTGTAGAAGCTGTTGTGCCTTCGCAGGCTAGTACATCTAGGAGGTGTCTTAGTAGCAGGTTTCTCCTGTGCAAATCTGCGCTCCATCTGCGCTCCATCAGATTGTTTCATGAACAATCTCGGGTCGAAATTCTGCGACGTAAGTTGGGACTGTTGTGGTGTAGATGATGCTTGAGAGTATGCTGATGCCTCTTCTTGACGTAGTTGAGAAGAGTTGACGCTGTTTGCGTCTCTGGTACCAGATGTCTACGTCGACAGAAGGTCCTCATTCATAATCTGAGCTGACGTAGTTGCTGATCTCGCTAATGTATGTGTAGCAGCAGGCTGCGATGTTCTACCGATGATTGTTTCCTCAGGTGACAGTATGGGAGGGTCATCAAAGACGTCCGCTTCCTCCAGAGGTACAATCTCCTGAGAGAAAGACCTGGTCTTCGAAGTAGATCTAAGTAGAGACTTCCACAAAGTCTTAGGAACTGCTGACTTTTTTTTCTGTGACGATGGTGATCTGTGCATCTTTGTCTGCGATGACAGCTCTGCTGACGCCGATCTCTTCTTGGAGGAACCGGAGACCAAGGCTGGAACGGACGTCTGCCCCGGTGGAACGCTCGGCGATTCAAAGCAAAAAGTGAACAGTAACCAGCACAATGTTAATAGCGCAATCATTCCATTTACCAGACATGACTTTAGAATACCTTCTTATCCAGTCATTTGCACGTCTATGAACAGAAACAATGTAATTATTTATTTCAAAATTCAATAATTTCTGACAAAAATTACAGCGAGCGCTGGAAGAACATGTAATTGTCTAAAATGGACATAATCAATGCGGGTCAGCCGCAGACAGCTGGTACCTACAACAGAAAATACGTTGTCATCAGCAAAATACGTAATATTATGATATCATTTTACAACACTTTGATAATATATAAGCCGAAAACCGTATACAGCTGAAATTTAGATGTAAAAAGGTCAAAATATCCTAAAAAAAGTTCTGTATAGGGACCAAGGTGCCTTCACAACCATCCTCCAGGGCGATGAAGGAGAGAGTGACAAACATGGCCGGTCATGTGACCTATAAGGGCGCCAATTGGGAAGGCAAGGGAGGCTATTCGTGGGTGAGTAATGATCTTACGTCCTCCTCTTTGAATGGAACTTCAAGGGATTTCAAGTGTTCCACTATATTTCGGATAGAAGAGGGAGACAAGCATATAATCATGAGTCAGGATAAGGAAAAATTATAATAATACATTATGACACAGGCTTCTTCTTTCTTTTCCTTGACACATGAATTTGATAAAATACACCCGTTTTTGGTTGGTGTCTTGGGCGCCATGCACTTACGTTCCTGACAGCCCGTCCCAGTGTATCCATCACGGCACCCACTCTTACAGTGTCCAGTGGTTTTGTCACACAACTCAGATGTGTTCTTACAGAAACACCAGGAACTGCAGCCAGGCCCGAAGCGTTCGTCAGCGCACACTATTGTTCAGAGAAAACACATACGTTTCTTGAAATAAATGACAAACATCGAAAGTAGGTCCATTCCAACATTACAGGAAGTGGACTTGGTCAAGTGAGTATCAAGGACAGCATATTCACGGACATAAAGCATTTGTGACAGGTATACAACTGTTTCCGAAGCGTGATAGATCGGATGACATTTTTACAGTCAAGACAACCTGTAATCTATTTTTTACACTAAACAGTGAGATTATGACGTCACACCGTACCACTGTGTTCAAACAAATATGACGTCATATTTGGAAATATGGAGCGCAATATTAATGCTCTCCGCGTTCCTAAACACGAAAATAATCATGTATAAACAGACTGCGTTCTTAATAGACCTCACTTTAGGTTTGACTGTTGACGTTCTGAATGAAGGAAACATTGGACACAAGATGTAGATAATCCACAGTTGTTTTGCATATCAAAATACTTCACTTTCGTACATGAGAGACGCGACTTGTTAAACAACTATTTCCCGGATTACTAGATCTAAAGAACTGGACTGACGCATATCAATGATATGACGTCACATTGCACATTTTAAGATGGCAGATATAACGTCACAGTCAGACATTCAGGGGCGCCTTGTATTTAGGTCCATTCCGTTCTTTATGATCTCATAATGTGTCATCTCCCCCGTCCCCGTTCAGGTGTCTGCAGCACACCACTTGTAACCTATAGCTACACAACATACGTGTATAATAAGTGGGTCTGACAGCTGACGTGATCACAATGACCACACTACTCACGCGTATGACAGTCCAGTCCTGTCCATCCGTCTTCGCATCCAGAATCACATTGACCTGTCCTCTTGTCACACACTTCATGCCTGTCCTTACATCTACACTCCATGTCACACTGGTCACCGAACCAGTAGTCAATGCACTCTGGAATAACACACAACAGTCAACAATCCACGCCAGTACCTTTGACCTCATGAAGCGTATGTTCAAGTACATTCAACCAAACAAACTACAAAAACGTTGTGCATTTGGCAATAACTATCCGTCTATTAACCCATGCTTCCATCTACTTGATCCAAACCTTTGCAAAATGTTCCTCTCCAGTTGTCTTGGCAGCCACGTGTACAGTTCCCGTCTACCTTGTGACAGTTCTGATTTCCTTCAGCACAATGTCCACACGTCTCCTTGCAGCCAGAACCATAGCGTCCCAGAGGACAAACTGTAACGATATTGTATAGGCTGGGCCATTTTGTTGAGAGCGCGGTGAAAAGGAAAACATGGATACATTGTCACAATGTAATATGATAATACATTTCATTCTTGACACATGAATCTAACAGAATTCACCCGTGTTTGGTTGGTGTCTTGGGCACTTACTTTCCTGACAGCCCGTCCCAGTGTATCCATCACGGCACCCACTCTCACAGTGTCCAGTGGTTTTGTCACACACCTCAGATGTGTTCCTACAGTAGCACCAGGAACTGCAGCCAGGCCCGAAGCGTCCGCCAGTGCACACTAGTTTTCAGAAAACAAATATATTTCTTGAAATAAATGACAAACATCGAAAGTAGGTCCATTCCAACATTACAGGAAGTGGACGTGGTCAAGTGAGTATCAAGGACAGCATATTCACGGACATAAAGCATTTGTGACAGGTATACAACTGTTTCCGAAGCGTGATAGATCGGATGACATTTTTACAGTCAAGACAACCTGTTATCTATTTTTTACACTAAAGAGTGAGATTATGACGTCACACCGTACCACTGTGTTCAAACAAATATGACGTCATATTTGGAAATATGGAGCGCAATATTAATGCTCTCCGCGTTCCTAAACACGAAAATAATCATGTATAAACAGACTGCGTTCTTAATAGACCTCACTTTAGGTTTGACTGTTGACGTTCTGAATGAAGGAAACATTGGACACAAGATGTAGATAATCCACAGTTGTTTTGCATATCAAAATACTTCACTTTCGTACATGAGAGACGCGACTTGTTAAACAACTATTTCCCGGATTACTAGATCTAAAGAACTGGACTGACGCATATCAATGATATGACGTCACATTGCACATTTTAAGAAAGCAGATATAACGTCACAGTCAGACATTCAGGGGCGCCTTGTATTTAGGTCCATTCCGTTCTTTATGATCTCATAATGTGTCATCTCCCCCGTCCCCGTTCAGGTGTCTGCAGCACACCACTTGTAACCTATAGCTACACAACATACGTGTATAATAAGTGGGTCTGACAGCTGACGTGATCACAATGACCACACTACTCACGTGTATGACAGTCCAGTCCTGTCCATCCGTCTTCGCATCCAGAATCACACTGACCTGTCCTCTTGTCACACACTTCATGCCTGTCCTTACATCTACACTCCATGTCACACTGGTCACCGAACCAGTAGTCAATGCACTCTGGAATAACACACAACAGTCAACAATCCACGCCAGTACCTTTGACCTCATGAAGCATATGTTCAAGTACATTCAACCAAACAAACTACAAAAACGTTTTGCATTTGGCAATAACTATCCGTCTATTAACCCATGCTTCCATCTACTTGATCCAAACCTTTGCAAAATGTTCCTCTCCAGTTGTCTTGGCAGCCACGTGTACAGTTCCCGTCTACCTTGTGACAGTTCTGATTTCCTTCAGCACAATGTCCACACGTCTCCTTGCAGCCAGAACCATAGCGTCCCAGAGGACAAACTGTAACGATATTGTATAGGCTGGGCCATTTTGTTGAGAGCGCGGTGAAATGAAAACATGGATACATTGTCACAATGTAATATGATAATACATTTCATTCTTGACACACGAATCTAATAGAATACACTCGTGTTTGGTTGGTGTCTTGGGCACTTACTTTCCTGACAGCCCGTCCCAGTGTATCCATCACGGCACCCACTCTCACAGTGTCCAGTGGTTTTGTCACACACCTCAGATGTGTTCCTACAGTAGCACCAGGAACTGCAGCCAGGCCCGAAGCGTCCATCAGCGCAAACTAGTTTTCAGAGAAAACAAATATATTACTAGAAATAAATGACAAACATTGAAAGTAGGTCCATTCCAACATTACAGGAAGTGGACTTGGTCAAGTGAGTGAGTGAGTTTCGTTTTGCGCCGCACTCTTCAATATCCCAGCTATATGGCGGTGGTCTGTAAATAATCGAGTCTGGACCAGCCAATCCAGTGATCAACAGCATGAGCATCGATCTGCGCAATTGGGAACCGATGACATGTGTCAACCAAGTCAGCGAAACTGACCACCCGATCCCATTAGTCGCCTCTTACGACAAGCATAGTAGCCTTTATGGCAAGCACATGGGTTGCTGAAAACCTGTTCTACCCCGGATCTTCACGGGTATGGTCAAGTGAGTATCAAGGACAGCATATTCACGGACATAAAGCATTTGTGACAGGTATACAACTGTTCCGATGAGTGACAGATCGGATGACATTTTTTCAGTCAAGACAACCTGTTATCTAGTTCTTACACTAAAGAGTGAGATTATGACGTCACACCGTACCACTGTGTTCAAACAAATATGACGTCATATTTGGAAATATGGAGCGCAATATTAATGCTCTCCGCGTTCCTAAACACGAAAATAATCATGTATAAACAGACTGCGTTCTTAATAGACCTCACTTTAGGTTTGACTGTTGACGTTCTGAATGAAGGAAACATTGGACACAAGATGTAGATAATCCACAGTTGTTTTGCATATCAAAATACTTCACTTTTGTACATGAGAGACGCGACTTGTTAAACAACTATTTCCCGGATTACTAGATCTAAAGAACTGGACTGACGCATATCAGTGATATGGCGTCACATTGCACATTTTAAGAAAGCAGATATAGCGTCACAGTCAAACATTCAGGGGTGAATCTAATAGAATGGTTGGTGTCTTGGGCACTTACTTCCCTGACAGCCCGTCCCAGTGTATCCATCACGGCACCCACTCTCACAGTGTCCAGTGGTTTTGTCACACACCTCAGATGTGTTCCTACAGTAGCACCAGGAACTGCAGCCAGGCCCGAAGCGTCCGTCAGCGCACACTAGTTTTCAGAGAAAACAAATTATACATTTCTAGCAATAAATGACAAACATCGAAAGTAGGTCCATTCCAACATTACAGGAAGTGGACTTGGTCAAGTGAGTATCAAGGACAGCATATTCATGGACATAAAGCATTTGTGACAGGTATGCAACTGTTTCCGAAGAGTGATAGATCGGATGAGATTTTGTCAGCAAAGTCAAACAGTTATCCATCAAGTTTTTATACAGGTGAATTGTCTATCCTCTAAAATACTATCTAACCAATGGCATGGTTAATTGTAATAAATTTTCTAATTTGATATGTTACTTTCAAATGACAAATATTAATACGATTTATTGAGCATTCTATGCGAAACAGTATTTTGAGGTGCGTATATTGGTAAAGAGTTTCGTTAGGTTTCCATGTGTTCCTCTTTCCACGGCTTGCGGCTATGGTTTTGTGTGTGATGATTATTATATTCTACCAAGGCCTATATTTGCAAGTTTGGTCACCGTTGCTGAGAGGTGAATATCGCCATCACTATCTTTATCGATATAACCACTGCTCTGGTATTCTATCAGCTATGAATTTGTGCAGCCACACCATTTTGCACTGCAATAGCGATACCGTTGTACTGAAATGCAGTGATTTGTTAACTCAGATTACAGCTGTTAATTGCATCACATTTCTTCACGTTTGTTGGTTTCACCCCTAGTTATCTTACTGACGGATCCCCGATGAACCTGTTGAAGTTGGGACTCAGTTCGTAACAACATCAATCAAACAATCACCATTTACCCAACTTACGGGTAAAGTCCGGAAATACGACCTGGACCACTGTGCAGTCTTAGACTTTACCGAAAATAATGGACAGTCTGTTTAGAATAGCATTCTTAAGAATACTCCCAGCACATGATTGAATGACGTCACAATGACTATGGAGGTTACCTTCGTGTTACTAGATTATAAGAGATGAATCGTATGGAAAACTGTGTGCCTTCTTTTGAGAGCAATGGCCTCGAAAAGCCGCAATACTGCTGCATTTAAGTTAAACCACATTCACAGCACATCAAAGAGATTCAGCATGGGAAGAACTAATTCCCTTGACGAATTATTGATACAACAGGTGTTCGGTCCATGTCGAACGCGCCGTTCGTGAAGGTCGACATCTATATATTTCCAAACTTACGTATCTATATATTACAAACTCAAGTGATAACGCAAAGCCTGGAACTGCAATGTTCCACTGCACCATTAGAGAGAGGTATCGTCGAGCCGAAGTTAATGTTCAAGGATAAAACAAAGTATTGAATGAAATATTCAGAAAGTTCAATGTCATCACACTTGGCACAACCTCCGAAGTATCTACATTTACAAAGAGTATTTGATACATATATTCGGGTATGTTAGTGACAATCAGTACATTAGCCTGTCTGCCAACACGGAAGCCTTCAAATCCATGCGTTTTCACGGAAACCTGTAAGTGTTGAGAAGAAACATCTTCCAAGAATCAAAAAGACCTAATTTTTGTACAGTACACGATTGATGTATATATAATTATTCATTTGACACTGAAGAGATATCTACTCACGTCCCTGGCAGTCAGCCCCGACACGACCGTCAGTACAACCACTCTCACAGTGTCCAGAGGTTTTGTCACACACCTCAGATGTGTTCCTACAGAAACACCAGGAACTGCAGTCAGGTCCGAAACTTCCGTCAGTACACTCTGGAGAGAAACAAAGATACATTTGTTGGTATTTGTTGGTACCTGAATAGTAAACACAATCAGGTATAACAACAATGTTGTGATTATCATAGGAGCAATCACCGTATCATGAAATGGGTTATCAAACTAATAAATATTTAGCATAGGTCTATTGTAGTCGACAATATAAACAGATAGAAAATATAAGCATGCATTATTTACCAAATATTTCCACTTCACAGAGATTGAGGATGTATTCCGAGTCGGCCAGTGTTGGCAGCTGGACAGTGACATGTTGTCCACGTGTGGGCGTGTCACAGCTGATGTTGATGGGGGAGCTGGGGCGGTAGGACAGGCTCTGCTGATAGCAGAGACGATCGTCAACCCGTACCAAGAAACCTCTCATTCGTCCTAGAATTAAACAGAAACACACATCAATATGAGCATTTAACATGGTCAGTGATGTCCGTTGAACTGGAAAATGTGTTTTATTTGGGTTTACACTTTCTAAGTAAAGTACAAATTCTAGTACTTTTTGAGTTGAGCCCCATCCGGGATTCGAACTCACACCGTCAGAGTCAGAAACCTAATCGCCAGCACACAAAGTCAGCCGCCTAACCCTCTCAGCTACCGCGACTTCCACAAAAATGGACGTCAGACAACTGGTAGTCTAGACTGCGCGCTTTGGAAAATAACTGTTTTAATAATATTGCATATACAATGTACCTGTCTGTTGGAGAAGTACATGTATTTCGGGTCAGATCAAAGACGGTAAACGAATGATCTGGGGGTACAGTCACGACACTGCAGTATTTGGCTTGTTTGTGCGATTCTCATACAAACGTCTTTCCCAAGACTTGGGAAGCGTTATAGTCACGCTGCCTATATTCAATCTGACCTATATTTACTATATTTATCAGATCTGAATGATCCACGGAAATCCAGAGAGATGGGATGGGGTGTATTTACACAAGCATGACATTAGTGAAAATATTTCAAAGGCGAATTGTATTGTGGATGGATTGACTGACCACATGGTATTACCTGAGGAGGTATTGTAACATTGTATTGTGTTACCTGGATGGATTGACTGACCGCATGGTATTACCTGAGGAGGTATTGTAACATTGTATTGTGTTAGCTGATGGATTGACTGACCACATGGTATTACCTGAGGAGGTATTGTAACATTAACATTCGTATTGTGTTACCTGATGGATTGACTGACCACATGGTATTACCTGAGGAGGTATTGTAACATTGTATTGTGTTACCTGATGGATTGACTGACCACATGGTATTACCTGAGGAGGTATTGTAACATTGTATTGTGTTACCTGATGGATTGACTGACCACATGGTATTACCTGAGGAGGTATTGTAACATTGTATTGTGTTACCTGATGGATTGACTGACCACATGGTATTACCTGAGGAGGTATTGTAACATTGTATTGTGTTACCTGATGGATTGACTGACCACATGGTATTACCTGAGGAGGTATTGTAACATTGTATTGTGTTACCTGATGGATTGACTGACCACATGGTATTACCTGAGGAGGTATTGTAACATTGTATTGTGTTACCTGATGGATTGACTGACCACATGGTATTACCTGAGGAGGTATTGTAACATTGTATTGTGTTACCTGATGGATTGACTGACCACATGGTATTACCTGAGGAGGTATTGTAACATTGTATTGTGTTACCTGATGGATTGACTGACCACATGGTATTACCTGAGGAGGTATTGTAACATTGTATTGTCACTGCTATGAACAATGTGTGTCATAACACTGGCTTAGAATTTATAACTCTTATCCTACTGGTACCCGGCTAGATTGACAGGTGGGTCAGTCGGTCGGTCCACAGGCAAATTGTAGCGCACTTAGGGTTGCGCAACAAAGAGAAAAATGATCAGTCTTTCCATATGCGAGCGAAGCGAGCAAAGGTTTGCAACGTGCTTCCGTCGCTTCGGTTCGAAAAATATTTTTTTAATATCAAAATAAAATATCGCTTCGCTCGCATATGAGAAGACTGGTCATTTTCTCTTTGTTGCGCAACCCTATTTACGCTACAATTTGCCTGTGGTCGGTCGGACGATTCGTTGATTGATCATACCTTCTGTTACAATCGTAAGCCTAAACGTATTCTCGGGCAGATCATTATTTGCCAATATTCTAATCATACATTCCGAAAATCTTCAAATCAATTAGTAACACATTGAAACAGTCCTTATTTCAGTACACTCTGTGACACACAGACGAATATAGTATTTCTATTCAACTTTGATTACATATAACACTCAGTTGATGCGTTCCTCGAGTAGTGAGTAGTGATGCATTACTGTACAGTGTGTATATAATACTTGCGTGTATAAGAGGAGAATATTCTCAGATTGGTGATGAGGTGTGTCTCTCCCAGATCCACTCTCCACTCGGCGGATGTCCGGCCTGGTGCCGTGTGTGTACATGTCCCTGACCAGTGGCTGCTGCTGACCACACCGTCCACAGCCAGGGAGGAATTCTTGTCTCCACACACGTCTCTCTTGGCGGATGTGTCCGCCCACCGACAGTCATTGACAGTGCTGCTTTGTTGCGTGGGTTTGTTCAGAGCAATGTTCCCTTTAAAAAAAAATGAAACACAAAAGTGTATAATTATTCATACACTTTATTTATTTTGTTAAATGACTACTAACGGCTAGTATTGCTTGGCAATACATGTTTGGTAGACAATAGCATGCTAAAAGACAAAGAGAGGGTTCGTGTTTTGCGTGTCACATATATTAAGCAGCAAAAGAAACGTCAGTTTGGAATTTTCCTTCGCAGAAACGTATAACTGTGAACTTATTTAATGTTTTGATTGTATATTTCTGACATCACCAACTTTACCTGAGCAAAGACATTCCTCAAACTCAGAATGGAACCCAAGAAATAGTGTCAAAAACGCAACCCGATCTCGGAGATGGTATGGTGTTCTCCATGTTTTTGATGCAACTGATGCTGCACGTGTTGTTTACAATGACCATCCCTATAAAATACACCCCCAAACCTGGTTGAAACATTCACATTACAACGTCAGTAGGATGTCGTGACTCACCACTGCTCAGAGGAACCAGGCGCTAGGAAGGCTTGAAGCTGACCACACTGCACAAGCCGTTGCCAGGTCAATGTTTCCGGGCCACCAACACCACAAATGATCGCCCCCGTACTGGCAGGCCAAGGGTGACCACAAGACGACAAGACCGCCATGTAGTGCGACAGCATGTACAGAATTCCTTCATGCAGGCATCCGAAACAGCACACCAGACAGTGGGAACACAAAGAAGACCAATCACTACTGTTACAGTACGCCGACGTCTTAACCGCGGGAACCTCGATTGCCGTGAACCTATCCTCCCGCCCCCCTAATCATCGGCGTGAACGTCTACAGTTTGCTCTACAACACCAAAACTGGCGATGCAGGCAATGGAGAACTGTTCTGTTTACAGATGAGAGTCGATACTGCGAATCGACTGCAGATGGCAGAACAAGAATATGGTGACGACGTGGCCAGCGTTACTCAGACCAATGTGTTATGGAAAGAAACTCATGGGGAGGTGCCAGCATCATGGTATGGGATGGAATGGGCCTTAACCAGGGACTGGGTCCAGTGGTGTTCCAGAACCTTGGTCTAGGCAGAGGAGGCGGCATCACAGCGGTGCGCTACATCGACCAAGCTCTCTCAGACTCCACGTCATACCAATTCCGCACATCACCGGAACAACATTTTCCAGCATGATAACGCACGGGCCCATACTGCCAGAGCTACACGGGACTTCCTACAGCAGAACGGTGTCAACATTATGCAGTGGCTAGCCCTTAGTCTTGGTTTAAACCCAATTGAACATCTTTGGGATGAAATTCAGGCGAGACTGAATAATGTCCTACCAAGGCCGAAAACAGCCGATTTATTGCGCCAGGCTTTTCTCAGATTGTGGTTCCAGGTGCCAGTGGCCTTCATCAATCCATTGGTGTATTCCATGCATAGACGCTGTGCTGCAGTTAATTCCGCTCGTGGTAGATACAGAAGTCAAGAGTCTGAATGGACTGCAAACGTTCACGTAATGTCTTGAAATTGTGTTGAGTTATTCATTCAAATATTGTACACAAAAAATGTTTTTGATCCGCTTATTATGTCAATTTCTGTGATGATTTGATTACAGTGCCTATCTAATTTTGAATTCGTACTGACGTTGTTTTGCTTCTGAGTATACAAATTAAAAGTGAGAGCTTTTCTGCATCCGATTTGAAATAATTCCATGGGCAACAAAGTATGGGTGTGCGTGTATATTTATGTGAGTGTGTTACTATTCTCGTTCTTAGCACTTTCCAGTTTTATGACAGCGGCCTGTAAATAATAGACGAGACAATCCCCTGATTGAGATTGTTGGCAATGATACACGACTTCCGCTTGATCACTCGATCTCTTGCATATAGCACAGGTTGCCTGGTAGCAACTGTTATCCGAAATCTCCACTGGGGTCTCACAATAAGCTGTGTGACGTTATATTAGTTTTGGGGGTTTTCTTGGTTACTGGAAGTGCTGAATCCCTTACAAATCAATCCTTTTGCCGTCTTCAAGGTATCCGGGGAGAGACAAAAAATGTCGCTCGTCCCCGGAACGGTTCACTTTCAGCAGAATGTTTACGTAGGCAACAGTCAGTCTATCTGCTGGGACTACAACAGTTTGTAAACATCCAGGCTGTTGTCTCTAGATATAACTCTGTACACTTGTAGAGGTATTATTAGATACAGGGCCACTGTCTCTCAGATATGACAGAGATGAGATTGACACAACCAGGAAAATGCCTAACATTGATTCAGTTCCAGCTACACAGAGATGTTGAAAAGCCTTTTCCTTCAATACCTCCTGTTCTGGTTCAAAATCTATTTGAATGGCTTGACATTCTCCGATCTTCAGAGGTGAGGTGAGGTGATATGGGGTTTAACGTCGTCCTTGAGAATATTTCGCTCATATGACGACGTGCCTGCGTTTTTTCTGCGGCTGCTTGTACTAGCCCAGACTTAAGCTGGTTTTATAGTGCTAACCCACTGAGATACCATGCCGCAGTGAAGCATGAATACCCCACTCAGACACATTATACTGACTCCTAGCCGACCAGTCCTTGTTGTACCCATTTTGGTATGACGCGGTTGGGGATCGAACCCGCGACCTTCCGCTCTCCGGGCGGACGCTCTAACCACTACACCACGAAGGCGGTCCCGATCTTCAGAAACTGTTTGACCAGCTCTCTAGACCTTGTATCATTATGGTTGATCTAAACGGGCATTACCTTCTATCGGGAAGTACTCATGCCAATGTTAGGGGGAAATCATTACAGAGTTCATTGCAGATAATAATTTAGGCATATTCAGTGATGGATCAGCCATATTTGCAACCGGGTATGGGGACGTATTCCGAATTTGATTTGTCAATCCCAGGTTCAAAAAGAAAATATTTTTTCAGCAATTCATTTCGATATATTTTTACAGCAATCGTCATTAAGACAATTCCTATGTTTGTATGCCGGTAATCGTGACGCGATTGTTGTGTATTGCAAGCATTTGGTTTAAAAATGAAAATGTTACGTGAAAAGGTCACACCGAGAAAATTCACTTGCAATGTGTCGGAAACATGAGTTCGGACGTCGACTATAAAAAGCCAAACCAAATTCGTCAGTTTATTACGAAATTTACCACTTAAATGGATATAAAAAAGTTTGCTACTGACAGAAACATCACCATTGGACGTTCTTAAGCAAGGAAGTCCAAGTCTGCCGCTGCAAGATACTTCAACGTCCACCACAGCACCATAGGTCGATTATGACATCGATATCCGGCCGGGTGTTTCACCTACGTCAACAATTTGCTACAATAACGGACACTGCAGGACAGGTGCCTGGTCTTCGAAGAATTTCCGAACAAACCATAAGAAATCGTCTGAAAAAAGTAGGAATTCGAGCATATCGACCAAAAGTTGGATCTGTCCTGACAAGACTGCAATGACAACGACGTGTCCAATAGTGGAATATGGTACAGTCATGGAACCTGGGAATCTAATGAAGAGTTTGGTTCAGCGATGAATCACGTTTCCTCCTGCAACGATGGGATGGGAGACCACATGTCTATTGAAGTCGACACGAACGTTTTCGCCGAACTGTGTCCGACAGGTGGACAGGTTTGGTGGAGAAAACTTCATGGTGTGTGGAGCCATGTCTTACACGGGTAGATCTAGGCTAGTGATGGTTCAAAACAGCAAATCGCCACATCGTCCAAATCCTGCGACATCACCTCCTCTCACTTTTTAACCGCCAGAGGGAGCTGTTTCAACACGACAACGCTCGCAAGTCAAAACATTGATTACACAACAGTCTCCTTTCCTGCTGACTGGGTTCCGTCCTATTGCGCAACTTAGTACAATAACCAGTCCAGAAGTTAGAGACCAATTCATTCAACTGGATAGATAAATATTTATTTGATACCTCTAAGCATTTGTATATTGCAACAATACGCGCCTTCTAATCCTTGCAAACAAGTCGTGCAGTGTGCTCTGTCGTACAGCGCACTCTGACAAATCGAAATCTGAAAATCGTGGAAATCTCAAAACGAGGCTCTGCCGCTAGAAAGGTTTGGCGGTCTGGTACGGACTTGCTATTATATCAATCACACTGTGAGTTACAAAACTACACCGAATAAGCGCAAAGAATACATATCCGATGTAACCAGTGAGCCAGATGACTTGTGAATCATTTTACGACTTCATCAAACAGGGGCGTCTTAGTTAAGGTCATGCTGTCTACACCTCGCCATGAAATAGGAAATAAAAATAACTTGTAAATGCCATTTTCTTATGAAACAAGAAATTGAAATTCAGTGTAACCATAGTTGTTTGTGGTGTCTCTTTTCACTTCCACGCGGGAAAATTCGGATCGGCTGAAAAGTAGGTCATTGTCTGAATAGGTTAATGAGACTCATGTTTCGGTTTGCCTCGCATAGCTCGCGTAACAGGTGCCTATCTCTCCAATGCAAACGTCAATGTCCTTCACTGTCCTTCCAAAGCAGTGTCGTCCAATGACAATGATAACAATACAATGTCACCCGTGTGTCAAATTTCTTTCACTTCTGTCCAAGATTAATTGACTTTAGTCCACTTTAATACATTTTCCTATTTTGGGACTGTGCATTTCTTCTTTTGAAGAATTAATGTGTAATGAGCTTGAAAGGTCGGTCCATGCTGCCCCTTTGTGGAAGTGGCCAAAATGTACTTTGTTGATTGGCGTGGCCTTTTCGCATAACTGCGGTCAACAATATCACCAAGATTTTATTGTTGTCTTGAGTATTCCGTCTTAATGGTTGAATACAGACTGGGAAGCTATTATTTTATTCTTTAAGAGAATTGATGTGTGTATGTCTTGGAGTTCTAAACATAAAAGCGGTGTGCATGGTTTGCGTAAACAACGTGCGTACATGCGCCCATATACACTTCCGTGAGCGAGTAAGGTATAGCACGACTCTGAACAGAAATCAAGTTATATCAGGGCCTGTCAGCATGATACTGTAGGAGAGCACGGCATTAGTGGATTTGTCTTAGGTTAGAATCTTACGGGCAGTGTTTCAGATGTATATCAGTGTGTCAACAATGTGATTCGAACTATGCAACTTCTCACTGCAGATGTAGTGTTCTACTCACGTATCTGACACGTGGGACCCGACCAGCCCTGGAGACAGCCACTAGCGCACCGGAAACCGACGTCACATCCACTTGTACAGTGACACTCCCGCAACGCTGATGCTGAAATATGACCTTCTGTTACAGCTTGGCTTAAGGCAGTCTGCACTTCCAAAACACCGAATTGCACATTTCAGACGTTGTTAAAATATGTCGCGTATTTATAGGCAACTGAAAATATCCATGATCCAAGTATGAACAAAATACGCGGCATGATGGGATATGAGCAATCTCTATAGATGATATCGCAGATGTCCCCAGGGGCTCGAGAACATCACGACTGGAAGCCCGAGATCAGCTGACCTACATATGCCAATGAGCATATTAGTAGTTATATAATGATGGTTCTATTACAGGGTACCTTATAGGCTTATTTCTACGTAATTCCGCTCCCAGCGCCTAGTGATTTTCAAGCAAAGATATCATTCGATGTACAACCGAGCTTGCCAGTCTAGACCCGTTAAACTCGCAAAGTGTCTATCATTTTTTCAGCAACCACTGACTAGACCACGACATGCCGAGTGGAGTTTCCTTTATAGGGGGTCTTAGAAACTCCCAAGCGTCGAGGTCTAATCAGTGGTTTATGCGCGTGTGTCCGTACGCGTAAGTCGTGACGCCCAGTTTTTTGGAATACAGAACTAGTTTGCCTAGGTTCTGCCTAGTGCGCACCTAGTTTGTACCTAGTTTGCACCTAGTTTGTACCTAGTTTGCCTAGTCCGCCGAGGTTCTGCCTAGTTATCCATATAGACAATTGTGCGAATGCAGATATATAGTACAAATAAAATGCCTCCGGAAAGACAACTATCGCAAGACCAAGTGGATAATATTCGCAAGATGCGTGGACAAATCTCTGCACAAGAAACGAAACAACGATTTGGAATCGGTTCCAATCGACTACGCAAAATATGGAATACAGAGGAAGATATGCAAATACCTACAAAGCCCATTTCTTCCTCCCCCGCTACAAATCCGAACTCTAGGACATCCGTATTGCCAACCGCAGAACCGTCCACCAACACCCTCTTGCCCACTGGCGAGATAGCTCCAAATCCGACGTCTACCTCCAGCACAACCGTATTGCCTGCTGCAGAACCGTCGACTGCGCCCACCGTCCAGGACTTCTACGACCGCTTGGGGAGGCTCGAGGCTCGTGTGGAACAAAACACGACGATGTAGTCGGCTCGTGCAGAGCAAATTTGTTGTCGAGGCTAGACAAGGACGACAACGACGAAGAACTCCGGGAGGAAATAGAAAGCGTCGAGGAGGAACAAGAAGAGACCAGTCTGGATATCGAGAAGGTGCGGCAGATGGTAGAATCGGCCCAAAGGTGGACCACCCTTTCGCTAGCCACTGTGATTCTCTTGAAGGTCGTCTACAAGACCTGGAAGCACAGCACGCCGGCTAGCACGCTGGCCCACATACCGGTCGACTAGAAGACGGAAACGCCAACACCAGTTTCCACGCCCAAAATTGAGGACCCCCACTATATGGAGAAGAGAAATCGATGTGTGGAATGCAGCCTTTTTGGAAAATAAAGTATTGTAGTAGGGTATACGAACCATGCGTTTGTTTTTTTCGTCCAGGCATGCGCCCTACTTTCCGTACCACGAATTCCTTGAAAAGCAGTTGGAATACGAAAACGTTGTGCGAATGGGGCCTAGACTACACAGAGCTGGGCTTTGTTTTGTCAACAGATCCATATCCGCCACGGCACAGCCCATCCAATGTCCGTGTACGGGAATGTCTACATCGTCTTTTGGCGCTCCATTTTCGTCCAGCGCTTGTAGATACAGGATAGTTCGCTTGTTCCCACGATACATCTGTTTTGCAAACCTATGGATGGCATAGACCCCTACTGGAAAGTCAACACATTTCTGGATGGCGAGCAAACAGACAGGTCGACGAGAAAACGCAGACACCAGTTTCCAAGGTATACCCCATCCTCATGCAGTAACATTCATTTAGACATTTGACTTTCATAAGGTATACAACATGTGGTACACAACCAATTAGAGAAACAGCTTTCATATGGTATACAACCATGGCTACCGTCAGAGAACTGAAAGCGTTGGCTAGGAAGCGTGGTGTGACTGGTTATTTTTGCATGAGGAAAGCCGAATTGCTGGCCTCGCTCGACATGACCTATGACAAGCCCCCAACTGTATGAGAGCTCAAAGCTCAAGCTAAAGAACGTGGATTGACTGGTTATTCTCGCATGAGAACAGCCGAGCTGATCGAACTCCTGGAGGACACCGAGCCGGTCGAGTTGAGGTTCGTGCCGACGGACCATGCCGTGGCTAAGTATCTCCGAGGTTGGAAAATGGTTGTCGATTCTAATATCGATACTGATAAAATCAAACCCTTAATCGACAGTAAACTTCCCGAAGAATTAAACGATTTGAAAAGCATCAAATACCAGTTGACCCTTAAAATGTCGCTCCAAAACCTCAGTCGGATGGCAGTACCGATTCCATTGCTCCCTATTTCAGAGGCAAACAGGAAGTCCTAACTCAACCAGAATCGATTGAATCCTCCATCGAGACGTCGTTCCAAAAAATGCAAGAATCGTTGGAAAAATATACCCACATGGGCTCTGGATGGGTGGTAGATTTACAAAATGCAAGAACACCAAGCCTGCGGGTTTGGGTGGTCGTCCGATGCGATGGAAAATCGGAACCACCGGTGATTTACCGAGGTCGCGACGCGGCCGAAACGTTTCTCACGTTCTTACAACGCGAAGAAAAAACATAAGGGAAGCGTTGTTGGATCCTGCTCCCATGAATATGACGCCGGAGGATGAGTTCGCTCATCGACGAGCTAGATATTGTCACGTATGTAGAGGACACCTGAACGGTGATTCGGTGAGAGATCATTGTCACATCACCGGTCAATACCGAGGCGCTGCTCACTACGTGTGCAACTTAAAACTTAGAATCAACCCCCCAAAATCAACATCCCCATGGTCTTCCACAATTTGAGAGGGTACGATACTGATTTGCTCATGCAGGCCATCTCGAAAGTCGGCGGTGATATCAAATGCATCCCAAACAACATGGAGAAATACATCTCCTTCTCGCTCAACGGTCTGAGATTTATTGATAGTGCCCAGTTCCTCCTCTCGTCGCTCAACAGTTTGGTCAAGGCCAACGGTACCTTCGCCATCACCCATCGATACACAGATGAGTCAACAAGGCCTCTGCTGCGTGAACCCGTACGAGTACATGGACGACTGGACTAAGTTCGACGAGACGCGATTACCTCCCCTCGACCGATTTTACAGCAACTTAACCGAATCCCATATCACCCAGAATGTATAGAACAAACTGGGTTGCAAAAATCTGGGCGACTACCACGACCTGTACTTGAAGACGGACGTGCTGCTGCTGGCCGACGTGTTCGAGACATTCAGAAAAACATGTTTGGAACAGTATCAACTCGACCCCGTGTGGTACTACACCAGCCCCGGTTTCTCGTGGGATGCGCTCTTGAACGGGTGTCAAACTGGAATTGTTAACGGATTACGACATGCACTTGTTCGTGGAAAAAAGCTTGCGAGGCGGGATTTCCATGTCCTCCAATAGGTACGCGAAAGCCAACAACCCGTACGTGAAAAACTATCATTCGAACAAGCCCACCAATCATCTCCTCTATCTCGATGCCAACAACCTGTACGGCTGGGCCATGAGTCAGTTTTTGCCTAAATAGTGAATAGTGGGTTAATAGCGAGCATTTTAATCTGAAAAACATTATGGCCATCCCCGACAACTTCGACATAGGCTACCTGTTCGAAGTGGATTTGGACTATCCCGAAGCGTTGCACGAATTGCACTACAGTTATCCGCTGGCTCCAGAACGATTAATGGTCGATCGAGACTGGATGTCAGACTATCAACGAGGCTTGTTGGGCGAGAAGACACTGGCCAACGTGGAAAAACTCGTCCCGAACTTGATGAACAAAACCAAGTACGTTGTGCACTATGGAAACCAGCAGCTGTACCTGTCGCTGGGTATGAAGCTGACCAAAATACACCGAGTGCTCAAATTCGATCAAAACCCCTGGATCGAACCGTACATTCGGTTGAACACCGAATTGAGAAAACGAGCCACAAGGGAATTCGAGAAAACACTACCAACTCATGAACAATTCGGTGTTCGGCAAAACCATGGCAAACCTGAGGAAACGCGTCAACGTGAGGCTCGTGCGATCGCACCAGGAGGAAAAACTCAGAAAACTGATCGCCAGCCCGGCATTCAACCGAAGCAAGTTATTCGATAATGACTTGGCAGCCCTCCACATGAACAAAGCCATATCAAGCTCAACCAACCCGTCTACGTGGGGATGAGCATCCTCGACCTCTCCAAACATCTCATGTACGATTTCTACTACAGCCGACTCAAACAACAGTACGGCGATCGGTGCGAACTGCTATACACGCGTACACGGACACCGATTCCTTGTTGTTGACCAAGGACGAGTACGAGGACATGGCGAAACACAGCCACTTGTACGATACCAGCGATTACCCCCCAGACCACGCCCTTCACAGCAAGACCAATGAAAAGGTCCTCGGCAAGATGAAGGGTGAATGTGCGGGAACACCCATCGCCGAATACGTCGGATTGAGACCCAAGATGTATTCCATCCTAACAGCCGACAACGGCGAGACCCGAAAGGCGAAAGGGGGTCAAGAAATACGCGGTGAAACAACACATCAAACACGCCCTCTTCAAACAAGCTCTGTTCAAGAATAAAACGTTCAAACACCGAATGAATGCGTTGAGAAGCGACAAACACAACATCTATGGCATCACCCTGAATAAAACCTCCTTGTCGCCCATGGATACCAAACGGTGGATCGCCGTCGACGGCGTCACGACTTACGCGTACTGACACACGCACATAAACCACTGATTAGACCTCGACGCTTGGGAGTTTCTAAGACCCCCTATGTGGGAAACTCCACTCGGCATGTCGTGGTCTAGTCAGTGGTTGCTGAAAAAAATGATAGACACTTTGCGAGTTTAACGGGTCTAGGCTGGCGAACTCGCCTGGACATCGAATGATGTCGAAAATCACTAGGCGCTGGGAGCGGAATTACGTAGAAATAAGCCTATAAGGTACCCTGTAATAGAACCATCATTATATAACTACTATATTCGTGTATGCGAGGTAGCAGTGTATCATGGCCAAATTTTATCATTGTTATAGTGGGCGACTTTGTAAAGCAGGTATTCTATTAATTAACCATCCTCAGCAGCTTGTGTTCAAATATTTAAATGTATAATTGGGCTTAAAATGTGGACATTCCTCATAAATGCTCACCACATTCATATTTATAGATCATATGATCTGTATTTCAAATACCTCTCAGAATGGCTTTATATATACACTGCAGGACATAACGTAATGTAACGATGAAGATTGGACAGAAGCTTTCGCTATACAAATGTTACATAGTCGTACAGACATAGTATTTGACAGGCTATGATTCTTAAAATTACAGTAAATAACTTACCGTGCTGCAAAAGGCATGCATGAAGAAAACAGAGTAGCCAAAGATGTAGCATCCAGGGATGCGTCGCCATGTCTCCGACCAACACACACACACACACACATACACAAGGAAGTAGATTTTCAAGGACTGAGAAAGTGGTATGCTATATATATATGTTACAGGATGCATACAGTGTTGCCAGTCAGTCGGGATCTGTAATAACTAACTCCTCAAGAGAAATGAATCGTGTTGTTTTCTGATAATATGAACGTGTTCGAATCCCGTTTGCTCCCATTAGGTTTCTAGCTTCGTCCGTGCCATACCTGTGCTTGCTCGTGGGGTTTCCCGTGTAAACGTCTGTTATCTGTCTGAATACGGGGTTTCCTCCCACATTTAGCTGACACCCTGTGATATAAATGGAACACTGTTCAAAGTGGCGTTTAACCCAAGTCAAGACAAATAAGGAACGTGTATTTAGAAACGAGGAACAAAAGGCACAAATTCTGAAACAGTTTCAGAGTCAACTGAAAGTGATTCCAGTACATACATGTAGTTTTATTACAAACGATGAAGTACATTTCGACCGACTGTAATGTCACGACTGAGGTATGGAGTCTATATGTCCGCATGTTGTACACAAAATAGTTAGAATCCGATTTGCAGACTCACAACATCTACGCCAAAGCCGAAATAATACCAAACTTTAGAGAGGGTTATTTTGTAATCGAAACAAGGAAGGGTAGAGCAGTTAAATACCACAAGCCAAATAGTAATGGTTGGAAGACGCATGACTCTAACAGAATGTTTAACACTTCAAGCCTAATGCTTCAAATGCCAAAGGTGCTTGATGGTTACCTCAATTGATAAAGATGCTTGATGTTACCTCAGTTTATAAACGTGCTTGATGGTTATCTCAATTGCTAACGGTGCTTGATGGTTACCTCAACTGCTAAAGGTGCTTGATGGTTCCTCAATTGATAAAGGTGCTTTATCTTTACGTCAGCTGATAAGGTGCTTGACGGTTACCTCAACTGTTAAAGGTGCTTGATGATTTCTCAACTGATAAAGATGCTTGATGTTACCTCAGTCTATAAACGTGCTTGATTGTTACCTCAACTGATAAAGGTGCTTGATGGCTACCTCATTGGATAAAGGTGCTTGATGGTTCCTCAACTGATAAATGTGCTTGATGGTTACCTCAAGTCATAAAGGTGCTTGATGGGTTTATTTGAATTGATAAAGGTGCTTCATGGTTAATACAATTTCTAAAAGGAGTTGATGTTTACCTCAACTGATAAAGGTGCTTGGTGGTTACATCAAATGATAAAGGTACTTAATGGTTACCTCAATGGATAAAGGTATTTGATGACTCCTCAGATGATAAAGGTGATTCATAGTTACCTGAATTGTTAAAGGTCTAACAACTGACATACTTCAGACTACAGACCATTTCACGCCGAATACAGTTCCAGTCAACGTTTGGCATTCAAGCAACTTACTTACAACTTCATACAGTCTGAGTCAGCTTGTGGCCCATTGACTGTACCCAACAGGGTTTCCTTATATCTCAACAATTACCTGCAGTATTCTGTTTCATATGAAACAGCGTCAAATGCAATACTGTACGCGAACATGATGTCAGCAGAACGTTCAATCGGAAGGACATGCACTTCACGTGAATATATAGATATCAGCCATTCGTGAGCAATGGAACTTCAGCCATCATTCTGAAGATTGTGTCGTTATTCTTCAAGCCAAACTCTGCTTGTGACGATCCAGTATGACATTGTGAAGCAGAGCCGGATATTGCAGATCATTACATTACTGGTTGAAGTATTGTGTTGAACTCACAGGACGTCCTGGTCTGATTAAAGAAACGATGCATCCATGTCTCGATATGATCGAGAATATTCCTTGTCATTTTATCTTCGTGGTATTATCTACAAGTCCGTTTGAGTCAGAAACGGACCAATGAATTGCAAATATTATCATTGTACAAAATTGCCACATCAATATAAATAGTACACATGTTTATCATTTACTTATACCCAACAGCTTTCTTATATTTGACAATTTTCCGGACTCTACCAAAAAAGTTGTTTAAGAAACTATCATCATTGAACACGCAAAAGTTGTTATCTGTCGCGGCGGGGTGAAACTGCAGAAACGGAACAGCCACTATCTCGTCGTGCACGGGATACACAAACCTGATGAAAAATGAAGTTGAATGTTGACGTGAAACAGCTGATGAGTAAAGGCTTTCTCCCAGGCTGCAACTTGGTATTCAGGGTAAAGTCCACAGATAACAGAGACTACCATTCCGAGATGAATTGTGCAGTTTTCCTCGATTGGGTTAAAAACAAGTTGGTACCAGCTCTACCAGAGAAGTATTTATCGTAATGGACAATGCCCCATACCACAGCGTGCAGGACCCCGACAGTAAAGCCCCGACATCGAACAGTCGAAAAGGTGATATGATATCATGGCTCGACAAATTTCAGATCGCACGGCCTTCAAAGGCAACGAAGCCTTAGCTATATGAGATCATAAAACCCCACAAAGGTGAACCTTTCTACAAAGTTGACAGTTACATAAAAAGTAAGGGTCACGATATTCTGCGACTTCCACCCTATCACTGTGACCTTAACCCCATTGAAATGATATGGGATATTGTCAAAGGAGATGTTGCCAGATCAAACACAACTTTTAGATTACGTGACGTAGAGGTTTTGGTTAAGGAATCCCTTAACAAAATCACGAGTAAAACTTGGCACAACTGTGTCAACAAGGTAGCTAACGTCATTGAACAGGGTTACTGGTCTCGGGATGGCTTACAACAGGCAACTGTGGCACCACTTATCGTCCCTTTAAGTCTTGACTATGACACTACGACGGACAAGGAACCGACAGGTCTCCCGGCATAGATTTTGAGATGTCCCCCCGCCATGACTGGCTGTTCTGTTTCTGCAGTTTCACCCCGCCGCGACAGATAACAACTTTTGCGTGTTCAATGATGATAGTTTCTTAAACAACCTTTTTTGATGGAGTCCGGAAAATTTTCCAATATAAGAAAGCTGTTGGGTATTAGTAAATGATAAACATGTGTACAATTTATATTTGTGTGGCAAATTTGTACAATGATAATATTTGCAATTCATTGGTCCGTTTCTGACTCAAACGGACTGTAGTGTAGATGCAGGTGGAAGGGTCTGATTAAAACAACTTTGACATAATTTTAGTTGTATTTGGAAGGGGTAGCATCAGAGGAAACCTGTTGTCAACTTAATTTCTTACACATTTCTAATTGTCTATTTTGTGCAACAAAGGTCTGGGTTCCAAGACAAGAATCATCGGGGAACTCAACTGAAAATAGAACCAAATTCCTACACCCTTGGAACGGATATTCTCTGGACAGTTGTCCATGACTTTACCCGACAGTGGAGTATGACTGATTCGTGCCTGCACTATTGCAGCGTGGAACGGGCGTTACAGTGTCAGTATCTCCATAATGTTTGTTTTGCATACACAATTTACGTTGCATATTATCTACGCCATAACCAAAGCAGCAAAATCCATGCATACTTCTGATCTGCAGTGATATGATAACAGTTCACCATTGTCTGTTTGACGGTGCATGGCTGAGATGAGAACCGGATAGACGAGCTTTGTTTCACATCCTCCTGCCTCAGTGGTGGGTGTGGCAGACAAACACATCACACGCCAGATGTTACTAACAATAACACCAATTTCTTTGTTCCTTGTTTCAATTTTCACGATTGTGGATTAAGGATGTGAGTAAATGTTTGGTTTGAAGGAAATGTATTTCAAAAATAAATATCATTCTGAATCGGACGACAGGGTAGAAAAACGAGTTGTTTGTGTTGACCGACACTGAGTACGGTTTTTATGCCTGGTCACACCACGACATGGGAGCAACATAGACAGTCCAGGACCCGGTTGTATGAAACTTTAATGAAGCATTAACGTGCCATTAAACCTTCATTAAGTAATGTATCATTAAAATCTGTTGTACTAACGTTTTAATGATGCGCCCTGTCATTAGTGCGTCATTAACTTAATGAAGGTCCTGGGGTATCATTAGAGCGTCATTAAACTTCCTGGAAAAGGGAGCATTGCGCCAGAATTTCGCCGCACTGGATCTACCTACAGCTATAAAATCACACAGAAATGTAGAGTATTAAATGTCATATCTCATGGTATAAACTCAGTTGGAAAAGTAGACACTGCTGAATGTAAGTCCGAATTTTGTTATGCGTTAAAAACAGTACATTTCTCTGCTTTTTATCGTGCACTGATAAAAGTACTGTGCTACTATATTTTCAATTTGGCATCTTTACGGAAAGTGTGAGCGACCAAAAATCAACCATGCCGCCATTTCAACCGCTAGGACGACAAGAATTAGGTCAAGGGAGATAACTCTAATTAACATGAAGAGCGGTAACTTAAGGCCGTTGGCTTGCCGCTAAAATAAGGAACTAACATCATTAAAAACTATTTAAATAATAAAATATTACTTTAATTCCAATCTCATTCCGTGAAAAACTGTGAAATAATAACTAGACCGAAGCGATGGGAATATTTAATGCAACAAGTGTAATTACACGTTCTTATTCCCTGCCAACATGCGGTGGCTCAGAGAAATAAGAAAAAACTTCCAGCCCAGAAGAGATTGGACTAACGTAATAAACATGAAGTGAAGTAGATACAATGACATAAAAAAAACCTTCTCAATAAGTATCTAACAACTGGGGAGAGATGTTCCAAACTTTTGTGAAGCTTCTAATTTTGTTACTGATTGAATGTTAATGTATCTCAAGTAAGCTGGGCTTTTCCAAAAGCCTGTCTTGAATTATCTCTCCCGGCATCTCCTGCTTGAATGCCCAGCTTGCTCCACCCCTTCGAAATGAATGTCCAGTGATTCGCATCGAAGGGTCGGTCTCGTGCAGTATGTGATTGACAGTCTCTAAAAACACACTCTCTTTCAATGCCTCACGTTGATTGTTACACAACAAAGGTCCCGCTCCATCATCAAGACCATGTAGCTGTAGGAGGTTGACCATAGCTGAAACCGGGTCTAAT